AATCTAGAAGAGGGTGTGAAATTTCTCCAAAACAATTGTATCACTGAATAAAGTGTCAATTTCGTTGTAAACAATGTACTGATGCTCCACTTCCTCACCATTCCACCCACCCTTTTGGCAAGCTGACAGGTGGGCAAAATGACGAACCAACCGAGTCGAATTGTCCAGCTATCCATCCCACTCCAAATAGCTATTTCCCCTCATCCTGTTGCTGACAATTATCTACTAATCCTAATGGGTAATTATTTTTAAACAATTATGTCTCAATCAAGCCATGTCGTTTATGTCTGCTGGGCGCGAACTACTTATTAGCATTGATTTCATACTTTCTACTTTAATCCCATTTGTATGTTTGTATAAGAGGGCAATAAGGATGTCTGTATGAGTTGGTTTCATACATACGCCATAGCCCAACTGATTGCCTTATTTGCTCAGTAATACATCCAAAGAAAGCGATTTATTCATCTGTTTCTAATTCCATATTAAATATATTATTTTAATTTTGTGCAAACTAAGAATATAGTAAATCATAGAGGGTAGCGTGGTGGGGGTTATTTCCACTCAGTTGATGCCAATCTCCGGAAATGGGAAGATTTTGACAAGGAATTCCCAGCACTTTATAAAGTTAATTGGTGATCAGACAACAGAAAAGGCAGATTTCCATTTTTCATTTCAATCTTGCCCTAACATTACATACAGACACTCGGCGAAAACACACACAAACATGAATCCTCATTAGAGGAATGTACGCTTGTTTCTGTATTTGTGTAAGGAACTTCACTCATCTGCAAGAACGTAGAGTTACATTACGATCGCAAGCATGGGTATGAAACAGTTGCTATGGTTACAGCCGACCACCTTTTTGCTGCGCTATTTCGTCGAGTAAAGATTCTTGTTCTCAGCCAGTCCGTCAAGGCGGTACAGACGCCGAGCCGAGGACATCTTCTCGCAATCCTGCTTCGTTTTCCGGCGAGGCCGCTACACGAATTCCTTTCAACCGTCTGTTCCAATCATCACCACCACCACGACCGCTCTCATCATCACTATTATCACAACCGCACCACTATCGGCTTTTACGTCATTTTATTTCCCGTCTTAATGGTAGCACTACTATCGATACTACTATTATCCATTATCATCATTATTATTGTTAATAGTGGTACTGGTGTTGTTGTCTTCGTCATCAGCGCAAGCTTGGATGGCAACAAATGCTATGGGCGTCGCCAACTGACTTGTATGAAGTGGAACCTTGAAGGCTCTTTTGCGTCGGCGGCGAATCCTGTTTTTTCTCTTGTCCGTCTGCCTTTCAGCTCGGCAAAATAGACTATTTGTGCACATTGTTGGTAGCCTTCATTGATCAGGCCTGAGGCTGACCTGCAGGCTTTTGTTACAGCCTCATTTTCAATTGATGCGCCAAGGCTCGTTGAACTGAGGACAATGGCAAAGACGTCATTGCGCCTGTTTGAGCTTGTTTTTTGCACACAGCCACCGCAACGCTTTCCTTTTCACGTCGTGGGTCCTGCTTGTCATTGCCTCTTTTGCCTCTTCTGCGATGGCATGCGCAGACGCGTGCGCACCGCTTCAAACTTCCTAGTCGATCCGCCTCTTTCGCGCGCCTCCCTCGACAGGCCACTTGAGGCCAACGTTTCAGCTTCACTGTCACATGCCGACTCACAGCCGAGGTGCCCTGTCCTGGACGCGCGCCTGCCTGTGAGCATGCGACGTGCTGCGCGCGGCGTGCGTGCGTGCGTGCGAGCCGGCGTGCCTGCGATCAATCGCACAGGCAGCCAAGCGTGCGTGCGTGCGTGCGTGCGTGGGTGTTAGTAATCGCGTTCGTGAGCGTACGTCGTACAGTGCGTATTCGGCGTGTGGTGCACAGGCTGCCGTGACCCATGCGACAGCGTGCGCGCGGCAGATTGGCCTCTGATTGGACGGTACAGCGTTGACTCACTGCCTCGCACTGATTGGCCTCCAGCCCTCGGGCCCCTCTGGCGCACGACCACCTGCCAGCCGAGCGCCTCGACTTCACAGGTCAAGGCGTGTCGTCACTCCATTGGACGCAGGCAGGGCGGCGTGTGTCTGCGTGCGACTGTGCCGGCCGTCCCGGCGAGACTGACACTGGCCTGCTCAGTCCGACCCGGTCCGCTCGGCTCGGCTCGGCTCCATTTCAACCCTCCACCGCCTCGGGCCGCTCGCTCTTGGCCTTCCTTGTCGCTTCGCCTCCTCCCGCCCAAATGGGCCCACCACCCTCGCCCCCGGCAGCCGCCTAACCGCCGCCTCGACTGCACCCCCTCTCTCTCTCTCTCTCTC